GGTTACAGTCTGTAGGAGGGGATTCCATCCAGCCCCAGTGACCCTCAATCGCACGCGATTGTATTCTTGTGTGAGACTGCGTAATGCATAATACTTTGCCTTGATTTGAGACGGGTCAAAGTGGCATCCTTTTTTGGCAAATTTATCAACAACTGCAGGGAAGACCTCACTCTTTAGGCTGCCCTTGTTCATTCTATTAGCTCGTTTAAATTCGACCAAGTACTCCGCAAATTCAAGTTCTCTCTCCATTGGAAATTGGGATCGACCTTGCCTTGATGAAACAGCTTTACTTGCCATTGGTTTTTTTAACTTTATCTACGACATATGTATTAGTGATAGTTGGCCATAAAGCATGCAAAAGGAAGATATGCATCTATTTTCACAGCATATATAGCAATTTTGGAACAACAGGTGAAGCACATGTGTAATGAATACCAATAAATTGCACATGGAGTTGGAAAAAGAGTAACACAAAATATATACCTTAAAGTAAATAGTGATGCAAAGTTGTAAGTCATTCTCTCCACACTCGGACCAACCAACGCTCACAGGATCAGGAAGTACGAGTTTTCCGACTGTGAGTGAAGTAAGGTAATTTAACAGTCCGACATGCAGGACCAAAAAAAAAAATCCCTGAAACAAACCTCTAGAAATAGATCTAGTGTGCGGCGGCATAAACCTGTTAACAAAAGAATGTATGCCTGTATCTCAAATTGTAGAGGATAGCTTAATTATTTGGTCTATAATAAAACAGAAAACTACGTTAAATTGAAATGAAATTCCACATTCAAAATATTAAAAAGTAAACATAGAATTTCAACTAATTCCGCTACCCCTATCTTTCTCGAATCAAAACACAAGAAAAACATTACTACTAGTCTTGGATTAATTAAACCAAAGCAAAATTAATAGACCAAATTCAATTCAAAAATGAAAATAGGATAAGCGCAGCCGAAGCAAACCAATGAATCTCAAGGTTTCGTCGAACATTGAGATCCTAAGAAAACATGCTAATCTGCTAGCAATACTGAAAGTTTCTTGTAGCAAGATCCAAGCATCCCAACTTAAGCCTTCAAATATATTATATGTAACAAAGAATAACACGGCAATAACCAAAAGAAGTCCTGACTAAACAACGAAATAAATTAAACTCCTATGGCCTCCTTTTATCTAAACTACCTAATGGAAGCAAATGAAGCCATCATGATTCAGGCACTTGGTAGTGAAGTGCCAGATTTTGTAAAGTATAAAGTAACCAAGAACAAGGCCTTAATCTCTAATTCTGTTTTCTAAGAATAGTTGACAACAAAATTTCAGCTTATGTGGCACCACGATAAAACTTGCTAATTACTGATCCATTTCAACAAGAAAAAATTTCCTCAAACTAGTGTTGTAACCCCCTTTTGTTCTGCAGTAAACACGTTCAAAATCAACGAAACAAATTAGTGCCCATTGCACCGCCTCACACTAACAAGAGTTAAAGCATTTCTGCTAACATGGGTTCTGAAACACAAGTAGCATTTACAATTTTCTCTAAACAACATCTTCCAAGATCTCACCCTATTACGAGTCAATTGCATGCTGATAATCATGTGTTAGATTTTTGTGCAAATGTTTATGATTTCCTTGTTGTCCCTTCTGATATCACTACACTTGTCCATGTGGCTTAAAAATCTAGCCATGAAAATTCTTTTACAACCACTATATGAGGTAATTGCCATGCCAAAAAGACAAAATGTGATGCCAACTAAAATCTATTGTTGTGCATTTCTCACTTTTGCTGTGCATTTCTACAATAATGGGAGCAACCCTCACACTTATGCTTGATCACTGGACAAACATGCCCTCACACACACACACACACACACACACACAGAGTTGAATTTAAAGAGCAGCAAGAGAGAAAAACAAGGTAGAGATTCCAGCTTAGAAAAATGTGGAGCATACAACTCTACTTCCAGCTTAGCAATTAATTTACTCAGCAGCCAAGTGACAAAAAATAGCATATTTAATAAAAAAAACTGCCAATAATTGTTGACTAGTATCTAATATAGAGGGAATGATCAGCCATTGCCAAGAATTTGTTAACTGTCTGCTGTGTCTAAAAAAAAAAAAAAAGAGAAGCCGAGCTCAATTCAATAGTTGTGAAGGAGGTACTGCACCTAAAATTAGAGGGGTTTTGTAGCGGCAATGACCAAAGCCAGCTCTTGCAGGGCAGAGTGTGGTGGAGGGCAAGAATCAGCCACCGTAAACTTGCCGGATGGGATTTCTCCTTCCAAAATGCGGGACCTTCGATGGACAAATCCAATCAGCTGCAAGTTTGGAGCACCTTCTAGGTTTCACCAATTTCACACCGCCGCCTCTCTTTTCAACGACCAGCTTCCGACGAGCTCGTATTGCTTGGTGATCTCCGGAGTTACAACAACTAGGGCATGCCTTCTGTGCAACGAAAGCAAACAAACAGAGACAGCTTCTGTTTTGCTGTTTATGCTGAGGAAAAAAATGAGGCCAAAAACGACGTCGTTTCATTAAAGGTTCAGAAAGGGAATGAAAGTTTTTTGCAAGTTTTTGGGCTTCCTGTAGCAAAATTTGTTAAAAAACTAGTAGCAAACAAACTTGGCAAAAACTTAGGTTCCAAACCGGCCCCATGTCAGAGGAAAATAAAACACTATTTATTTCTTTTTTCTCTTTCGATCGAAAATGGGGTGCGACAAGCACACACACACACACACATACATATATATATATATATATATATCTTAGGTATAGACATTAAAAATAGACAATCTAATTATTATATATACCAAAAATAAAATAATTCAACTCAGTTTTCAATTAAAATTGAAATCAAGCATCTAAAATTGATATTCACCAAATTCGAATTGAAATCAAATTCAACTAAATAAATTAAACCAAATAATGCAAAAAAAAAAAAAAAACATGGACATGGCATAAATAGAGGGAGGAAAGTAGTTCTCTACTTTTGTCAAGGGGATAATGAGTTTCCACTTTTGCCCCTTGACATATTAGTTGGTGCCGATAAAAATACTTTTAGAATTAATCTTTTCTATATTGACAGCATATACACTGTTATTTTGGATAAATGGCAACTATGCAAAATTTGAATTTGAAATTCAACTTTTACACATGTATCATGGATCAAACGGTAATTGTGTATGTATTGTTAGTATATAAGATTTACTTATACTTTTATGCAAAAATGACTGTCAATTTTGACCACTAAATTTGTGGGAAAAGAACAGAATTAGGACATAATTGGTCACTAAAATGTTTGAGAACTAAATATGTTTAATAAAAATATTGAAGGACATATAAGCCATTTCCTTAAACAGTGTCTCTTGGTAACTCGATTTTATTAGTTTGCTTAGTAATTGTTTTTCCTCAACTAAAACTATATACTAGTATTAGTATTTTTTCTTGCTTAAAATTTTTTAGTAAGGGTGGAGTGAGATTTAAAATTTTGAGAGGGGAAGGAGATTTATAGCTAGTTTGGGAGGAAGGAAATGAAAAGAAAAGAAAGGTTTTGAAAGGATAATAAAGCTTTTCCATTGTTTGGGAGCAAAAAAGTGAAGGAAAATAAAAGATTTGGAAAGATTTCATCTCTCTCCATGTAAAGGAAAACTTTCCGCCCAAAATTGGTTAGAAAAGGAAGGAAAGTGCGGAAGTTTTAAGTAAATTTTCAAATATGACAAAACTACCCTTAAAATTTTGATACAAAAATTTTAATCCCCAATGAGTCCCCCACTACAAAACCCTCACCAAAACACCTCCATTCACTTTATAGAAAGGGCATATTTGTAAAGTAACTTGTTTGAATATCTTTTCTTTTCACTTATATTCAACTTTCAAACAAAAGAAAACTACTCACCTTCTTTTCTTTCTTAAAACTCCCAAATAACTAATGTTTTAAAATTCAGACCGTTAATTGAATCAGTGAAGTGTTCGAATCAAGATCCAACCGGTCGAACTGGTTCAACCCTGGTTCAATAAATTTTTTTAAAAATAATTTATATATATATATGCACAAAATAAGACATGCAATGGACTAATTTAAAACTTTATATGATGAAAAGTTTAATATTTTCAAAAAATTTGGATTTTCAAAAATAAATTTTTTAAATTATAAGTTGAAACAAATAAATTTCATCTCAATCTCAATCATTTCTACCAAAAAAATAATCTTAAATCCATTCCAAAAATATCACAACATTTTTAAATTATACAAAATTCATGTCTCTGCGAATTAGACATTGTGAGTTTAAATTTTAAGTCTTGAGATGAAAGTGAGTGGTTGTGGCATTTAATAATTAGTTTTTAAGTTTAAAGAAAAACAATTATTTATTGAAATTTTTTTCAATTTAATAGACAACAACAAAATTAAAAGATGAAAGAAAACATTAATAAATTAAAACTAAAGAGGTTTGATTAAAAAAGGGTGACAAAAGAAAAAAGGAAAGAGAGAGAGTTGAAGATTATAAAAAAAAATTATGAAAGCATGAAATTTTGTAAGGAAAATGGAGGAAAGAAAGATGGAGATTTATTTTATATAAATGTGATATAAAAAAAGACTAAGTGGATGTGATGGTGCAATGGTTACCATGTTGATCTTATGTAGCAAAGGTCTTGAGTTCAATAAACTAAAAAATCGAAAATTAGCAATTCGATCCGATTTACCGGTTTTGACCGATTCTTTGACAATTTCAACTATAGCATAAAATCGTACCGATGTCATGACCGGTTCGTGGTTCAACCGGCAGAACCGATCCAGTTCTCAAACATTGCAAATGGCTTACATAGAAACTTAAAGCCTTTTCCATTCTTTTTTTTTATTATTATTTTCTAACATACGCTTTTTCTTCTTTTCTTTTTTATTCTAAACTCCTAAACTAACTATTAAAGCCCATGACCTGTAGTCCAGTACAACAGTAATTATTAATTAACATATATAATCTAATCTTATCAGGCTAAGCCCGCCACTTAAATACATAAAAATGTAACATTAATTACCGAGAAATCGGGGGTTTTGGTACTTGATACACAAAGATCACAAAAAAATGGATTTGAAGTTAGTAAAGAATTCCCTCGAAAAACAAAACGAAGAAGATGATAAGGAAAATGGTAATCAGTCAACGCTTGAATCCTTGCCTCACAGATTCTTCGAGCCTTTCATCATGCAAGGAATCAAGTTGGACATTCTTGAACCTGGTCGCCTTATTTGCTCTCTCACTGTTCCTCCTCGTCTTGTGGTCTCTATAATTTCTTCTTTAGAAAATAAGTTGATCATTTTTGTTTTACTTGATTTTATAATAAGCAGAGTACTAATATGTATCCTTTTTTTTGTTAAAATTTTTTCGTGGTGGGGCTGAAGAGCAAAGATGAAAATTCAATGCATTATGGAGCCATAGCAACCCTGGTTGATTGGGTGGGAGCTTCTGTTGTTTATACAATGGGAGCTTCGGCAAGTGGGGTATCAGTGGAGATCAACGTTTCTTACTACGACACTGCTTATGTTGGTGTAAGTATTTTTTTTTTTCATTTTTCTTTTTCTTTCCCAGATTTCAGTTTCTTTTCCTGTGCTGTATTTACCTTTCATTTTTCATTTTTTTTTGTTTTTCTATTTTACTTTCTTTAGTTTTAGTGGGTGATATGATATATGAAGCAAAGAAAAGGAAAAGGGCTGTTCTTGAAATTAATGTTTGAGTAATAAAACGCAAGAAAATGAGGGGAGGGTTTTATCTTTTTTCTTTTTTTCCCTTTAGGGGTTGGGGGCAGGTTTTGACTCTGATTGCTTTACATTTCCTTGATTAAACAAAAAAGTAAACCAAAAAATGGATTATTATTTGATGGTCAGATTTTAATTGTAGAAGCAACTAGGACACGGAAGGTAATTTATCAACCATTTAAATTTTGTTTATTTGCATTTTTCTGAATTGAAGAACCAAGCATAGTTGCGTTCTGTTGAATGTGGACAAGAGATATATCTGAGCGTTGCTAAATGAGTATGTCATTGCAGATTTGACAGAAACTCTTAAAGCAATTGATTTGGGATGAAGGCTCCTGTTATTCGTGTGCCATAAGGCTGTTAGATTTTGGGGACTAATTTTGGCTTGGGAATAGTTATTAGAAGGTAATGAATGACGAGAACTACAGAAACCAAGACGATTCCCAGGTCAACTTTAAACCTGAATTAAAGGCATCAAATTCTGTCAGAGGGCTGCCATGTATTATATTTGATCTGTTAGTGTCAGGATTTTAGTCCTTTTAGCTTTTGGAGCTTTTAAATTTTTGGTTATCAATTTCATTAGCTTGCTTCTTACCTGTTTAAATACCAAAAAAAGTTGATTTAAACTTTCTGCTGCACTTTAATTAGTTTATTTTAACCTGTGATAAAGCCTTACAAAGCTACTTCAGACTCAAATATAAGCAGCACAAAAAGAAAAGACTTCTCCATTTGCTCTTCCCCATTCGCAGTCTGTTACAGAGCAAAAACTTCCATGCACAACAAAATAAATATTATGACTTTGGAAGTACTACTATCTGGTTAAGATGATCAATAGCAAGGTTTGTTAGAGGATGGATTTAGTTAGTTATATTGACTACGCATAGTTTAATTGTCAATCAAAGAAAGGATATTTTAGTGTATTGCATCCATTGAAAATCCAGTCTTAAAAAAGATGCCAATGCATGCCGGGAGTTTGGTGGTTGAGTCATCTTGAGCTCATCCCTAACAAAGCTTGTAATGGTGGGGAAATGTGGATAAAAGGCCAATATCTGGTCTGAGCTTCAAAGGCGTACACTTTCATAAAGAGAGCTATTATAGTGAATATTACAATGACCTATATTATTGTTGAAACTGAAAGTTAAGGATGAAATTTCTAGAAACAAATGCACTTCTGTTTGAGAAGGATCAGTTTTTCATAATGTTCACTTAGAATGTTTCAGTCTTTAAAGTTCAGATAAACTCAGGAATCTATGTATGATTAACTTATGCCTAGGAATAATTTTGCATTTAGTGTCAGACTTTGTTGGGAAAAGAAATTTTAGGAAAAATGAGTTTTTTTGCATTTGAGAGATCAATCTTGGAACTTCACCTTTTTACCCTCATACAGGCAATAGATAAGATACAAGGTAGTAGTTGACCAAACATACAAGTCATTTTCCCCTCGTTATGTTACTTTTCTTTTTGTATCCTGTCCTTTCTCTTCTTGTCAATTGTTACACCACCTAACCTAAGGTCACAATTTCTAGATTTTCTTGTTTCATGGAAAAGCTAAAAGATGTGAATGCTAGTGAGTTCAATACTGCAATTCACTCCATGATTCAAGAGTCTTTACTTAAGTGCCTTACCCCTTTTAATAGAACTTCTATCTAGTTAGAAATTAGACCACCTTAGTGCTGTCTTGATTGAACTTGTCTTTATTTTAAATATAAATGACCACTGCAGTGTAAAATTGTCCCATTTATATACTCTAAAACCTACCCCACCTCCCATTCCCTGCCTCAGTTTCACTTTAGTGCTTGATTATCCCAAACAGGGGACTACTTCCTCACTTTGTGGTTCATGTCATTGACAATTGAAACTTAGACTTTGCTAACTCGAATGCTGTGTTGAAATACCACCTCATAAAAAATGCTTAATGAATGTTATATAGGATAGGTATAAAATTATATTCTCTTACAGTTCCCTTGCTCGTATAAATATTTTACTTATTTATACAACTGAAGAGATTCAAAGTTGTCTCATTATCTGACAGTTCCCTCATTTTCTTTCATTTGAATTTGCACGTGGAAACTTTTATTTGTTGCATTATTGCTTTGAATATTTTAGCCTGGTTGCTTTTTGTTTACTGCAACTTAACTGCAGCTACTTGAGATTTTTATGTTCTTGTTCGTTCATTTCCTTTAAGGAAGTAATAGATCTGTGGAATTACTGATGCTGTTTCAATGAAGGTTCACTTCTTATGTTTGCCTTGCTCCTCCATCACCAACACAAGAAGTTTAATATGGAGTTATAATGATTACTGTGGCATCTTAATCTTTTACTGTAATATGGGTCATATTAATTAGCCATAAGTTTCTTGAATGCTCACTGTATAGAGCAGTCTTAATAAGTTACTATGATAGTAATCTTAATAGGTTATTATGATAGTAGTTTATGTCTTTCCGTTGTTATTGCCCAAGAAGTAATCACATAAGCTGACAGGATTCACTTTTTGTAGAAAATAAAGAATCCATTTGAATGCGTGCCTTCCCTTCAAAGTGCAGGGTGCTTCCCTTATCTAAGATGTGCACTTTGAAATTTAAAATGTTGTTTAGCAGGGCTGAATGCATTTGGAAAATTCTTAATATTGGATTTATCAAAGCTGCCAATGGCTCTACTTTGCAAAGACTATCAACAAGAACTTTTGACTGGATTTTCTTTGATTGTTGTGCTAAGTATCCTAGGGAAAGTGATTAGCAGTGTACAGAACTGCTGATCTCTCCAGGAGCATGTCTCACTGGATCTTGAGTAGTAGCCATCATTTATTACCCTTGCAGTTGATGCAAACATTTTCAGATTCATCTGAAGATCTTCACAGTGTCACATACATGGAAAACTAATGTCACAAGGGAAAATTTGGATTGCATGCTATGCAGAAAAGGACAGTATAGAAATATGGCATTGATATCGCTGCTGGATTTGACTAACTGGTTTTCCTTTGACAATATTTTACTTACAGTTGAAAATTTTCAAATTTTAATTTTAATCTGAGCAAGGTTTAGGATATATGAACTGCATAGTTTACCTTTTCTTGTCTCATCTAGAGAAGTATTTATAGATTAGGATAGATGAACTTACACCTAGAAGAATATTTCTGAGCTTTGAGCATTACAATATAGTTAGAAAAAAATTGTTTTTTGTTAGCTTAACAATTCAATAACAGTATTCTTTTGACCTTCCAGTTAAAGTAGAGATCAAAATCAGTTAATCGTACTTGTTGCATAAAAAATTAGAAAAAATAAAAAAGAATATAGAATAGATAGAATGTTTGGTTAACCTGAAATTGGCTGGAACATTGAGAGCACAAGTGGAAAGTAATATAGGATTGCATTTCCTAAATTCAGGATTACAGTAGTCTTGAGCTTCTTATAGTTAGACATGGTATTCAGTTGGTCCTCTCCCATGAATCCCATAACATCTACTAAATGGCTGGAAAATGTGATATTTTGAAAGCATTTTAGTTGTAGAGTTGCAGGCTCACATAGAGAAAAGATGACTACAGAAGCAGGCTGGTTTATCCATTTTTTCCTGTGTGGGAGGATACCCACAAAGAAGAAAATGACGAGGAAATATGTATCATTTATACCCATGATGGGCATCATGAAACACAAATCCACATGGCAATGCTAATAAAGTACCACTTTATGGCCACTGCCATAACTCAGATGTGATTGGAAAGATAGTTTTGGTGTTTGTAAGGTTGAGTAGAAATATGACAGCAGTTGAGGTGTCCAAATTTGTTGCACTCGTGTAATTGAGTGTTAATGATGTTTTTACTCCTACGTTGGTGAACAATTAACTCATACTCAATCTATATGATGGTGCTTCATAAATAGGAAGAGAGACGAGGGTGTGCATCAGAACAATTTTTTGATGGCTCAGTAATCCTCGTTCTTGAGATAAGTACAAAGTTTGTTGCATTCATTTACACCTCTAAGTTGGCCTGCAATAATTGCCATATACATGGGGTTCATTTCTGTTGAAGTGAGGCAATTTTCAATTTGCAACATGGTGAAATCCTTCTTTCAGCATGGTTGTTAAGTTGCTAAAATATCCTGAGCCTGAAGAGTCTGTCATTTAATATGCTATTTCAACTTCATATACTTTCATGTTTTATTTAAGAATATTTTTACTTATTACTTGGTTCTGTCTTGATTGGTTATTTGACACTTTTGTCAGTCGTCATAAACTATATTAGTTTTATTCATGTCACTTCAGGAGAAGGACAGGCGGGAGAAAGGGATTTTTAGACCAACTTATCATTACTGGTGATTTCCAGTTTGCTGAAAGCAGCCTTCTCTGGTAATTGATGTAACTTTGTGTTTTGTTTCAGGAAGAAATTGACATAGATGCTAAAGCATTACTAGTTGGAATGGTAATTGGTATTGTTAATGTCGAGTTGAGGAAGAAAAAGACCGGCAAACTAATAGCTCGAGGACGACAGACAATGTACATGGCTGTGCCCAGTAAACTATGAATTGCTTTTCCATCTTCCCCAAAAAAACTCTGCAGATAGAGCAACAGATAACAGGAGCAAGATGAGAAAGATGCTGCTTATGTTTGCTCTTAGAGGTGCTGAACACTTCTTTCATGATAGTTCTGAACCCTTTTATAGGTTACAATATCATTTAAAGGAATTATAACTATAAATATTCAATAATTTTTTAGAACAAATTTGCCAACAAATTATTGAATTCAATTCCACTTGATTATATTGAAAAATTTTTAATGCCATTGAAGTTGTTTCATGATGCCTTTCTTTTTCTTTTTTCATAAATAACAAAATTACAAGAGCATGATGGAGGAAATCGATAATAGCATGGTTTTTGTAAACTTAAAAAAGCTAGGATGTTAGCTGGATTATCTCTTGTTATTTGAGTTACAAATCTGACTTCTTATTTCCCTCCTTCGACAGGAGCCTTTAGTCATAAGCGTTACAGCAGGTGAAATGTCTTAAATGCTGTTGTGCTTTGTAAGGAGTGATATTTCCTTCTGCAGAAGAATGGTGCTGATGCAACAAAATGTGACTCCAAAATCGTTTAATGGATCCTTGCTTGAACAGGAAGTGAATAACTGCTAAATTACTAAATTTCATATCCGACTTTCTTTGAAAAGACACTAATTCCGATGAATATCCCTTGTATTATGTGTCCAAGTACATGTTTTAAACCTAAACAAATGGTGGAGATTTTCTCCTCAAGGGGATATACATGTTAAAATTCTTCTGGAATTGTTATATCCAACTTCTTTAAAAGATACATTAATGATTTAATGCCGATGAATATTTCTTGGAATACGTATCCAATGTACCTATATGAATCTAAATATAGGACAAGATTTTGTGGTCACTATCGGGGCCATGAGGAGTTTTCAATGTTTGAATCAATACTTACACATAGAGAATAATTTAAAACTAGAAGTTGTAAATGTAGTAGGATAGTTTGCAGGGAATGACCGTAATTGGAAGAATGAGTAATTTATAAACCCTCCAAACTATGTCAGAGACAAAAAAAATTTATTTTCTCTTTTGATTGAAAAGAAATGTTTTTTCATTTTCAATCGAAAATAGATTTTTTTCCTCTTTTGACCGAAAATAGGGTGCGACATATATACACACACACATATATGTTTGTATGTATGTATATATGTATGTATGTGTATATATATATCAACACACACATTGATAAATCTAAAGTATAGACATTAATAATAGACACTGTAATTATTATACATACAATGATAAAAAAAATTTAAGCTCAATTTTTAAGTTAAAAATAAAATTAAGCATCTGAAGGCAGTATCACCAAATATTAGTTGAAATCAAATTGAACGAAATAAATTATGCCAATTCTAATTTTATTCGTCAGATTTCAATTAAACAATTTTATGCTCACTCCTAAGTGTCCGAATGCAAAAAAATATACGTGAACATGGCATGACAAGTTTTGACAAAAAAAAAACAAAAAATGGCATGACAAAGAGGGACGCAGGTAGTTACCCACTTTTGTCAAGGAGAAAAGAAGTTTTCACTTTTGTACCTTGACATATCAATTGATTTCGATAAGAATACTTTTTGTGGCAAGGAACAGCCAATTTTCACCAATAAATTTATAGGAAAAGAATGGTATAAGGACCAAATTGGTATTTAAAACCTTTGGGAACTGAATATGTTTTAATAAAAGTATTGAAGGAGACATAAGCCATTTTGAACTGTGTCCTTTTTTTGTTTATTATTATTATTTTTTTTTTTAGGGAGGAGTGAGAAGTAGGGTTGGAAATGGAGATTTGAATCCAATGCCTATAGGTCTATATAGAAGTTAGGGAAAATTATTCAAAACGTTCCTTACATTTTATAAAATGATATTTTTCATCCCTCACTTTTAAAAGTATAATTTTACGTTCCTTATAAATTCACATTGATCAAATTTGGTCTCTATCTAGGTTTTTGACTAGTTTTTGGTCGGAATCCATCACATGCCTTGCACACGATCATTTTTTAAGGGCAAAATTGTCAAATCAAATTTTACACAGTTCGATCTATAGTCTCTTATATTTCACAAAATAAATTTTTTTGTTCCTCACATTTCACAAAATGAATTTTTGGATCTATCATATTTTATAAAATAAATTTTCATCATTTATTGATCATGTGTATGAATAATTTTTTTTTAAACTCATGTATGTGTCTATTTGATTTTATCTGAATAATATGAATAGCATGCATGTGTACAACTACAATTAGCCTATTTAGACGAAATCAAATAGAGATATATTACATACTCCCTCCATCCTATTTTGATAGTCCAAGTTTTTTTCACACAATTTAAGAAAAAATAGTTAACTTTATTGGAAAAACAAAATTGGGTTGCTATTTTTCTAAACATGGAATAGAATACAACTTTATATTAATTATTCATGAATTTGAATTGATGGTTTTATGGGAACTTGAATTGATGGCCAATAAAGAATCAATCTCATTTTACATTACTTCACATTGTTTGTTTCCCTACTGACATAAATGAGTTTGAAAGAATAACAAAGTTGGCTTTTCATATATCAATATGTTTTGAAAAATCTAAATGTATTAAATGAAGTAGGTTATATTCAATAACAATCTATATTAAATAAGGCAGTTTATACTAATAATAATCTACATTGAATAAGGGTATTTTAGAGAAATTAAAACATAACTACATTCTTCAATTGGAAAGTGAACTACAATTTGGGACAGACGAAAAAGGAAAACAGGATTATCAAAGTGGGATGGAGGGAGTACTGTTCATACTATTCAGGTGAAATTAAATAGATATATACATAGATTTAAAAAAATTATTAATATTTCACTCATGTTCATTTCCTTTTACTCAAAAAATGAAAACAAATAAGAGATTTAATCCTAAACATTGTCGAGTGTTTATATCGAATTAAATTTGGATAAAAAAATAAACAAAGGAAAAGTATGATAAAAAGAAGTAAATAATTGACACTTTCAAATTTTAAGACAATGATAAGACAAATAATTCAACTGTTGGTTTTAAAGGTAGTGAGTAGAAATTTAAGATTTAAATTGAAACTTATTAGTATGACTATAGAATTCGAATTAGGACCCATTAATTAGATGATCTTATTGTACAACTCAATAAATGAATTACTACCAAAAGAGAAAAGGCTACAAATATTGAATAAGTTCACATGGTGAAATCAAATGGGTATATACATATGTTTAAAACTAACAATTTAGTTTTAAACATATGTGTGTAGACAATGGAATTTTAATTAAATTCTAAAAGTATCATTGGTTTATAAATTATTTTTATGGCTTAATTTGATCCAATCGGGCATTGCCATATGTCATGTACACTTGAAAAATTTGGTTATTAAGCAGCCAATTATATTTTGCCACGTGTCAAGGTGAGGTGTTCCAAATCAATTCAAATTGCAGGGGTATCTCCACCAACCAAATCATATCATATCATGTATTTATTGGATAAATATCTAAATATTTATTTCTTATTAAAGGGATAATATTTAGAGTTGTTTAATCCAAGTATATTCCTTATATATTGCAATAGTCTGGCCTATCAAACGGCGCCACGTCATGTGCCCCCACGAGTTTGGCCAATCGAGAAATTACTTATCTCTTTATTAATAAATATAAAGATAATATTTGGCTAGCACAGTCCTAATATGACTGCACGTTTTGCAAGACAAGTAAAGTGGCACACAGGTCTTCAACCTCTATCTCTTGCTACAGCTATAAATAGGGGTCCCTCAAACCAAATCAAGGACACAGAAACACACAGATACAGAGGCACACACCAAGAGGCATCTCATACACTCAAGTGGTGAAGTTCCAAGCTACTAAGGTCTGGGTCTCTAAGCTCCTCAAGTCTTCCGCATATCAAGGCTTGAGCCTTCAAATATTTTCCAGTTCTTCAAATCTTCCATATCAAGATTTGAAAGAGTCGGTGGTGGATCCAAGAACAAGCTGCGAAACCCTTGGATTGGTGTTCGAGGAGAAGAATCGAGGGAAACTCTCCACAAGTTCGAGAAAACCCCAGAGATTGTACCTACATATTTTCCTAAATTTATAGATCATATATTTGTCGTGTATTTTTCTTGTCGTTTTGCAGACTTGAAATTTTATCGCGTACAAATTTTTGGCACGCCCGGTGGGACCTTCTCTGCCTTCCATCTCTTCTCCTCGAATATTCAACTACGTATATCATCAATGGCACCCAAGAGCAACAAAATCGTGATTGCACGTTCTAAGGCTATTGATGCTAAGCCTGTTCAGGAAGCTGCACATGTTGCCAACAATACCCGCGTTATTGGTCCCGTGACAAGAAGTATGACGAGATCCTCCACCCAAAGTAGCATGGAAGCTTCATCGGCGCCAACTCCCGTCTTCGGTTCAATATCACCAATGAGCTATTCTTCCACGATGGGGATCCAAGACGTTCCTGCCTCGATTGAGAAGGCTCTTGTCATGCTCGAATTTGGATCCGAATCCAAGTTTTCTAAGCATGACGATAATTCATCAAGCACTGGATCAGCCTCTTCACACGAAACTCTTCATTCAAGATTTTCTATTGAAGATTCTGCTGCTTCTTCTGCTGCAATGCCTGCCATGATGACAAATACTTTAAGTCTCGAAGAGCAAGTTTCGAACATGTCCAAGATGATGGAAACCATGATGAAACACATCAAGGACCAAGATGCTCTCATTGCTCAACTGCTCACCCAAAAAGATCACGCTCCTGAAGGAAGCCATGCCAACCAAGAGCGTGAAATTCCCTCATCTAAAGGCAAAGACAAGGTGAAGGAAGTATATGTGACCGTCGATGGAACTATTCCCGTGGAACAACTGAAAGAACTTGTTGAAGGCGTGATCAAAGATAAAAATGAGGGTGGTTCAAAGTCAAGCTTTACCTACTGCAAGCCTTACACTGCTAGAATCGACAATCTCGCAATGCCTGTTGGATATCAACCGCCTAAATTTCAACAGTTCGATGGGAAGGGTAGTCCAAAATAACATGTGGCCCATTTTGTCGAAACCTGCAATAACGCTGGAACCTATGGTGATCCGCTAGTCAAATAGTTCGTCCGATCCTTGAAGGGCAACGTATTTGATTGGTACACTGATCTCACTCCGGGGTCCATCGACAGTTGGGAACAGTTGGAACAAGAGTTCTTGAATCGCTTCTACAGCACTAGAAGAACCGTCAGTATGTTGGAGTTGACTAA